GGAATGCTCCAAGCGATGTCTTGCTCTGTCCCTTCTGGACTCGGAAATAATCTTTTCCTGACCACACTCCTATTGCATCAGGTGCTCAAGGACTTCTCAAAACAACTCTATACACAGCCTTTCTGACCCCAGGATCTGAGAGGAAATGCTTTATAACTGAAGGACAGCAATGGGTGGAGGAGCTCTGCCTTTAAGTGCATCTGGGGAGCTGGCTGAAGGTTTTGCACAAGAAAACCAGAGTTTCAGGAGATGCTGAGAGCCCAGGAACAGGCACAGTGGAGATGTGAATGACCAAATACAAGAGCTGCTAACACAGCCCATATTGGATACAGAAAGTCCCTGGATGGGAGCTGACAGCCCCACCAAGCCCTGGCCCAACATGGAGAAGCAAAGCCCTTCCAAGGATGCATGATGAACATCCAGGCTGCTGCTGACCTCCCTCAGCACTATTCCTCAATATTAGAAACGCATGAATCAAAATCAACACTGCCACCAGTCTCTCAACCTTGGGTGCCTTTAGGTAAGGTGCTCAGAAAAGCCACCAGAGTGGAAGGAAGCGCTGGCATGTGGGTTTGGTTAGAACAGGAGGACCATGTACTGCTCAAGAGTAGTTCATCTAACACCAGGGTGTAAATCCTACCAGTCTGAGAAGTCTCCTCAGTCCCACTCCCTCCTCTCCACCACATCCACTCTTACAAAGCCAGAAACCCCAAGATTTAGCAGCCGAGGGTGAGGTACAGAGAGACACACCAGCATTGAGCAACCCCTGTGGGGGAGACTGGGCTTAAAGAAATCTGCTCTTGGAAAACCTGCTCCTGAATTTCCTGGGCTCCAGGTGCACAACAGGCTGCCCGGGGGTCACATACTGAGACCTTGCTTCGGGTAAAACAGACAAGGGCCACCCACTGCCAGCAGGCACTGTGCACATCTCTCTGTGAGCATTCTTGGGACAGAAGGAACAGTTATTCTCTCTGCCCCCTCATTTAAAAGGGCTTTTTTCATGTCAGTGCCCCGATGTGCTTGTGTTTACAGGATGTGTAAAGGACCATGAAGTACTTGTAGGGGGGACACATCCTCACCAGGGGAGCTGCAAACAGGGCTGGGGGCAGGAGTGGTTATAGGGTCAGAGGAGCTGGGAAAGCAGAGAGAGGTTATCAGGAGCACTGGATTAGACTCAAAGCACCACAAGCAGAGAAAAATAACGGTGGGGAGGACAGGAGCAGGGGTGTTATGGACAGAATGCATAATTTTTGGGGGCACACTGACCTGAGTAGGGAAGGGGGAAAGATGGGAGTCCCGGCTATTCCACCCCCCAGACCAGCACCGTGCACTCGCCCACACTCACCCCCTGCTGACAATGAGGCGCAGGGCGTCCAGGTTGCCGTGGTAGGCAGCCCATAGGGTCGGGGTCATGCCATCCTCGTCCGGCGAGTTCAGGTCCTTCTTGGTGGCTTCCTTCAGCAGGTCCAGGTAGCCGTCCCGGGCGGCCCGGTGGTACTGGTCATTCATGGTGCAGAGCGGTCCCCGGGCGAGCACATGGGTGCCCAGGGGGTTCAGGGGACGGGCATGGGTGTGAGGCACGGGGAGCTGCCAGGAGGGCCCCGCTCGCCTCGCACAGCTCCGCAGTACCAGGACACCTGAGAAGTCCCGGCCGGCGAGGCAGGAGCTGTTCCAAGCTCAGCCAGCCAGGCTCTACAGCGCTTCCCCTGGGTCCTAAGCATCCTCCGGCCCCGGCGGCTCTTTGTAACACACACCAGCTCCACGGCGCATTAAAAGCTCCAATTAAGCAGCATCACTTCGTCGGGCTCAGCCCAGAACTTGGGCACAGGGTCACGCAGTGACAACTCACCAGGTCTGCACGTCCCCAAAGCAGAGCAGGCTGCCAGAAAGGCTCATAGGTTGTATCCTGCCTGATACCCCTCCATGCCCCTCTCCATAACTACCCCATCTCAAGGGAGGGGCAGCAGCAGCCACAGGAGGAGTGGGTCTCTATCTATCTATCTATCTATCTATCTAATCTATCTATCTATCTATCCATATATAAATCCCTAGTGCCACTAGGAAGATAACAGCAGAACCAGTCACTATCCCTGTCCCCCTTCCACCCTGCCTATACCCACAGAATTCTGCTTCCCAAGGAATTGCACAACAAACTGCACAACAGGAATCCTTGATAAACCAAAGAAACTTGTATAGGCTGGGAAAATCCCCTTCCTCACCCTGTTTTCCTCTCTGGAGAGTAAAACAACACCAAGCCTACTCCCATCTGTAATTCGGTGCTTCACTGTGAGTGCATGGGGTGCAGTGTCTGGCCTCTGGTGTCTTTTATGCTGGCACAGAATTCCTGGCTGGGTGAGACCCTCGGGGAGCTGGACAACCCCAGGCAATGCCTCCAGCACAGTATTCCCGGGCCCCGGGCACCCTCTGCTGTCGGGAAAGATCGAGGCAAGCCTGGATGTTGACCAAAGCACACAGTTGTCCCAGCACCCAAGGGTGAATTGGTGAATTGTATCCCCTGGGACATGCTGTTGTGGGGGAGCAATTTCCTGCTGCTCCCTTGTTCATTTTGCCTGTCATGTCCTGACTCTGGGAATGGGAGATCTCCGGGGCTGGAAAAAATGCCCCAGGACAGGAGGGTGGCCCTAAAGCAGTGCCAGGTGCACCCACACAAGCTGCAGTGGTTAACCCCTGGGTGACAGACACGGAGTGACTGTCCTGGCTGCCTAGGGACACCTGTAAGTGCCCCACGTAGGGTCTGCTGCTCCCTGCAGGGTTTGCTCACCTTGGCAGGTTTGCTTGTGCCAGCTCAGCCTCCCCAGGTGAGTCCGGATGGATGTAGTAGCCACGGAGGTATTTTTTACCGGGATCCTTCCAGGTGAAAAAGCAGCACAGTAACGTCTGCAATTCATTACCGAGGTTATTTAATGATTCTCGTGTTATTATTAATTAAGTTTGTTCTGCTGTTGTCGTGGAACGAGTGTTCTAAGGTCGCTGCTGGGGGACTGGGAGCATTGCCCGAGGCAGTAAACACTCTTTCCTCTGTTACTGGCTGTTAAGGACAAAAGAGGGAGGATAAACCAGTGCATTTAGCCCGAGGGGCCTCTGAACCTCTGCCTTCTGCAAAACATCATTATCCACTCAGTTTTACTTCAGGGAGGCCTGGGCTTCCCCTGGGAGAGGCTACAGACTGAGGAAAGTTCAACCACTCATCCCGAAAGGAAGCCCTAAGGATCAGCAGGGCAGACCCAGTGCTGGTGGCAGCCGGCTGGTGGCAGCACGGGAGGGATTCATGGAGATCTGATCCTGAGCTCTCCTTCACCATCCCACGCAGCTCAGTTTGGTGCTGCCCCTGCAGTGCTCAAAGGAGCGGGGTGGTGAGCAGGCAGGAACAGGACTGAGAAAACACACAGCAAGAAGCCTCTGTGCTGGGCCCTAGAGGGGGAAAGCGGTAGGGACATCTCCAAAAGAGGCATTTTCAGGGATTAAAACTCATCCCCATCCACTGAGAACTGCCCTGGGTCCCCCCATCTCCTCCATGAAACATAAGCTGGGGAGAAAGAGACCTTGAGCAGAAGCTCTCACCTCACCTGGCAAAAGCTTGAATCCCATCTGCACTGTGGTTTATAACATGACTTCCTCCTTGGAAGGAGAGGAGTTAAGCTTCTGAGAAAGGGCCAGAGAAAGGTGGTCCCACCCTGAAAAATCAAAGGCAGCGCGTCAGCAAAGTCGAAGAACATGAATTACAGTCCCCAAATCCTGCCCTGCTCTAGTGCTCAGCCTTCCTCATTGTTGCCATCATGGGTGGGAAAGGATTACACTACCCTTGGCACTGAACAGATGCAAATGCAAATTTCTTCCTTTTTCCTCAAAAACGCTCCAGGCCTAGAGCAGATTGATTTGAATAAGACAGGGCGAGGCACAATATTTATTGTGCTCAGTTAAGCAGAAAGCCAAGCACCACATCATCAGCAAAGATAAGTTCGTCATCTAAACCATCTTCTCTCAAGGGAAGAGATCTCATGGACGCAGGGAGATGGGTTTGATGGGGTGGCTTTGCTCTCTGGTGACACTGACCCTGCGACCGAGCGGTCCATGCCATACTTAGCAGTGTTGTCAACTCATGCTCTCATTGGGTAAATAACCCTTATCTCCTTGTCTTTGTCCAGCTTCCCCAAAATCAGCTATTGCACAAAATGCATCACATGAGTTTCTCTGAGAAGCCCACGAAGCCCTGCTGTCAGCTCCAGACATGGTATAAATCACAGAGACATCCCAACGGGTATAAATTCTTCGACTGACCAAGCTGCAGCTGCAGGGAAACTTCTCAGCCTGGCAAGAGCAGAGATTTGGATCCCAGGCAGCAAAACAGGTTGGTGAAATGGCTTTGTTTCAGCCTTTTCATTGAGAGTCAATGAATTTCCAAACTTGGCAAGGGCAAGGGGCTTTAGAGGGTGTGACAGCAGAGAGAACTCACGCCCTTCTTGCAGGAACTGGTAAAAATTATGACGTGATGGTCCAAAGATTCTGGGGTTTCTTACCTTTTTCTTGGCCTGTTCTTCAGCCAGGAAGTATAACAACTTCTTGGAATGTCTAGTATTTGGCATTTAGAAATCAAAACCACACTGGCCATTTGCCCCAGGATATTTGATCCCGTGAGCACTTTTTGGTGCTTTTCCGGTATCTTGCATCAATAAACACGTAAATGTGATATGTGACCAATTAGAAATGCTTTGCTAAACTGACCTGGGATCTCCCCGAGCAAAAGCATCTTAAGCAACAGCAGCCTTCAGGCAACCAGGAAAGGAAAGGTTGAGAATGAGCTCATCCCTTGTCTTGCAGTCCCTGTCTCAGCTTTCCCTGTTCCTCTGATATGTCCTCTCCTCCTCATCACGTGTCCTGCTTTGGTCCAGCCCTGGACTGTTCCAAATGAAGTGGCACCTCTCATTCATGGGACTCTCCTCCCAACAGCATTGACCCTCAGACAGAGCATTGGCTGAACCATGACCGAAGAGCCCAGGCGGAAGGACAGCGAGACCGGGCACCCCAACTCCAGCATGGGCTGCGGACACAAGGACGACAAAGCCAGCCTGGCTTTGAGCCAGATAGCATCTTTCAGCCACCAGGCCCCCTCCACTCCTGCCTCCAAGGAAGTGTGGAAAAAAGGCGGCCGCATGTTCTCCATCCTGCTGGCCGTGCACTTGGCCCTGCTGGCCTGCACGCTGGTGAGCAGCGGGGCCTTTGAGAAGATCGCCGTGCACGACTACGATGTGTTCTTCCTGCTGACTGTCATGATGCTCATAGTCATCATATGGATCATCTTCTACCTCGCTGGCACCTCCCGGTGCCCAGGTGCCATCCTGTGCAAGGACTCCCACGCTGGGCCCATCTGGCTGAGAGGTAGGAGCTCTCGGGGGCTGGGGTTGGAGGGGAAGTACAGGGTGGAGAGTTCATGGGAGCATCAGTTATTACAAGGGAAGCAGCAACCATGTGGGCACAGCCTCCTCCTGCTCTGGGGCATGGCACCATGCCCTGCTTCAGGTCAGCTCCTGCTCCCTCCACTGGATTCACTGCCAGGTCTCCCTGTATCCACAAGGGCTCTTGGTAATTTACACCAGGATCCTTCCCAGCCTAAGATCCTTCTCAGCTTTTGCCAGAGCTGTTAACCCCAGAGTACAGGGTTGATTGAAAATCCATTCCAGCCAAAATTATTGTACGATTCTGTTGGTGCTGGGAAAGGAGAAACAGTGGTAGAAGCAAAACCCCTCCATGACAACAGTTCCTCATCTTCCTCTCATCTATCTGCATTAGCCCATGTGTTCACATATCTGTCCAACCACAGATATTTCTGTTCCTCAACAGGAGGCCTGATTCTATTTGCCATTTTCAGCCTTGTCATGGACGTGTTCAAAATAGGATATTACTCGAGCTTCTACAGCTGCCTGTCTGCAATCAAAATCATCTACCCCATCGTGCAGGCAATATTCGTGGTCGTCCAGGTGAGATGGTTCTGCTCAGTCTCAGGGAGGGGTAGAGAGACACAGGCACCAGTGGAAGAGCTCTGATCTCATGGACATAGTTCAACTGCCCCCACAGCAAATGCAGAGGCTTAACTCAGCCCCACCCAGCCCACATCTTCTCCCTCCCTGGGGCAACTCACTTCAAGGCATTGATTTAAATTTGTTCCTGTCCTGTGACATTCTGGCTTGTCACAAACTCTAAGCAGCCCCCATCCAGCCAGGTCTCCTTTTCCATGAAGAACAGAGGAGGAGAAGGACAGTCAGGGCAGGGGTTGCCTTACAGTTTGAGGTCCTGCACAGAGGACCACCTGCTCTGGGACAGTGCTAAGAAGGGAAGAGGTCAGACAGGGACAATTTAGACAGGAACAGGGAGTGGCCATGGGCAAACAATGGCAATGTGAGCAAAGAAAGAACATTCAGCAAATTGCCAGGATTATGGGCTCCTAGGCTGGGCCCAGATGGACACAAGCAAAAGAGGCTCCTCTCTCAGGATGATGTGCTTTGCTTTCTTGTTTTGTTGGAAATAACTCCTTTTCTTGCCCCTGCCAGACGTACTTCCTGTGGGTCTCTGCCAAAGACTGCATCCACGTGCACCTGAATGTTACCAGGTGAGCACTGCTGCTCTTTGAACCCCACTGGCCCAGGAGATCTGAGCCACCACAAACTTTCTCACACAGCTAAGATGCAACAAGGAGATAATCTCATCTCCCTTAATGCTGCCCAAAACTAAACCTGATCAGTGGCTCCAGCTGGCCTTGGATCCCAGCTCAAACAGTTGAGGTTAATGACCTGTGCATATATCAGGGTTGGGATTCAGTTCAAGAATACAAGCATTACTCAAAGCAGATTAAATAAATAATTATCATTAAATAAAGTTATTCATAGCTGACTTTTGCTCCCCTGGAAAAGATAATGATTCAGTGGGCAAACCTCAGGCTAAAATAAGATCTAGTCCACTTTTGCAAGACTGGAGACCAATCCAGATCTATTAATTCACTATTGAGAAGCTCTTCTAAAACCAACAACAGGAACCAGGCTTTGCAAATTCTCATGAACAAGGATAAAAAGTAGGAAGAGAGGAGAGTGAGGGCAGCAAAGCAAGGGTCAGGATGGGAGCAACATGGCCTAGAGCCACTGCTTTAATCTCAAGAACCTTCTCCTCCTTCTGTAGGTGTGGCTTGATGCTGACACTGACTACAAACCTGGCGGTGTGGATGTCAGCAGTGACAGATGAGTCTGTTCACAAAGCACATTCAAAGCTGAAGAAGAACATGACAGAGGAACTCTTCAGGTGGTTCCTGAGAGGTAATCCGGCCATTTGTGAAGTCACCTGGTCCAGGGAGGGAGCAAGTCAGGTTTTATCCCTTTTTGGAGGGTCTGTCTAGAGCTGGAGGTGCCTTTGGCAGAGCTGGTATGTTAAAAGCCAGGTCTGAATGTTCGCTTCTTAACCTGTATCACAGAGGAGTCAGAAAGGTGGAAGACCGTGTACAAATGGGGTGGCAATGAAGAAGGGAAGGGGGGAAAAAAAGGGAGATTTAACCTGCCAATTAGATTCTTAAAAAAGAACATGGGCACCAGAAAGCTGAGGTTGAAGTGTCCTTGTTTTCAAAGTGGTCACAATATTCTTTTGTCATTGGTCTTGTTTTTCACTGACCCTGAGCATCCAGCTCTTCAGCGCTGCTAATGAGTGTTGCCTCCTTGTTTTAATTCCTCTGCATCTGTCTGCTTTTATCTTGTTTCAGTGGGAATGAGAAGTAGCTCAGTTGACCAATGCAATTGCAACAGCCAAATCTGCCAGATCTTCAAGAATGGCTACTTTTGGCTGTACCCCTTTAACATTGAGTACAGTCTCTTTGCCTCTGCCATGGTCTATGTCATGTGGAAGAACGTTGGACGCTTCATAGACCACCACTCCCACCACATTCAACGCCTGAAGTTCAGGCTCTTCCGAAGGACCTTCTTTGTAGGCATCATGTTGGGCCTCGTCACTCTGGTGAGTGGTCTGGGAGTTCTCATTCTTTATGAGGTGCAGGTAAACTCCAACACCGAGTCCAGCAAGAAGAGCCAAGCACTCACCATGTACTACATCTTCAACATCGTTTGTCTGAGCCTGATGTCTCTTGTCTGCATCGGTGGCTCTGTCATCTACCGCTTTGACAAGAGGGACATGGACCGGCACAAGAACCCCACCAGGACCCTGGACGTGGCCCTGCTGATGGGGGCAGCCCTGGGACAATACGCCATTTCCTACTACTCCATTGTGGCCATCGTGGCCAGCACACCAAGGGACGCTATCAGCGCGCTCAACCTCACCTACGCCCTCCTGATGATCGCCCAGCACACCTTCCAGAACATCTTCATCATCGAAGGCCTCCACCGGCAGCCCCCCAAGGAAGACTACAAGCATGACTCCCACCAGAAGGATCTCTACGGGCTCACCTTTGTCAACATCAACGCGGTGTCCCTCCGAGTGCCCGACACTGGCAGCACCTTGGCCCCTGGCGCTGCCTCTGGCACTGAAGCCGTGTGTCCTTCTGACCTCGTGCGGTCCCTCACCGCCCCCAGGGAGATGAACTGGAGGAGGAAGTTCTTGAGGGAGATCTCCATGTTCCTCCTACTGAGCAATGTCATAGTGAGTACATGCAGAGAGAAGGGGGGAGGGAGAGGGGAGGAAGCACAAGGGAGAAGGGTCTGTGAAGGAAAGGATGTGCCTCATGGAAAAACAGTCCTTTCTGTGCCTCTGCTGTACAGAGAGTACACTTAGTTAAATTTATAAGTTGTAATTCCTCTGTCCCCTAAAAAAAAAGAGCAACTGCCCTGAAGTTAAGATGTTTTAGGCTACACTAATAGACCTGTTAGTTATTGCCAGAATGTCAGACACAAGAGGTGGGTACAAGAGAAGAATCAGTATTTTTTCAGTATTTTTACTATGTATCAGTGGATATGTAGAATAGCTTATTGAAAGCAATAAAATACATTAAGCCCTTCCCTTCACCCCCAGAGAAAGGATGTAAAGTGACAAATACCTGGGGTGAAATCTTGGTTTTCCTGAGGAATGGCAGTGCATCTTTTCTCAAAACTCAGGCTTAGGAGCCCAACTGCTGATCCCAGTTGCTGTTAAGAGAAACTGGTCACTGACAACCTCAGCTGGGGTTTTATGAGCAGTCAGGGGACTGCAGTTTCCTGCCAAAGGAATGTAGGATTACAGCTGCATCTCCAAAGAAGCCAAGCATATTATGTCTCTAGACACCAAGTCCCCAGCTAGTCAGTCACATCCTGTCCTCACACTGATTTCACACAGAAACTCACAGAGGATGAGCTGACAACCCCCATGCAAGCAGGCACATGGGCTGGCTGGGCTTCTGAGCCAAACATCCTGGCCTGAAGAGACCAAGCTGCTCCCAGCTCAGCCTTTCCCACATTTGTTCCATCCACAGAGCTGGCACAGGCCAGGTCCATGCTAACACACCACACGCTCAAGCTCTTACCCAGTGAGTGCTTCAGCCCGTGGTCCAAGCCTGTCTCTGAGCGTGAATCAAGACTGGTCTTAGGGTACAGCACTAGACTGTACTTGATCTTAATGCAGAGACTGGCTCCTGGCCCAGGTCCCGTGCTCGGAAGGTCGCTCCTTTCCCGCCCCTGGGTAGCTGTGGTTGCAGGTGCTTTGCTGTGCCTCACACGTTTCTCACCGTGGTGTTATTCCCGTTTCCTCCAACAGCTCTGGATCATGCCAGCGTTTGGTGCCCGGCCACAGTTTGACAACGACACAGAACTGAACTTCTATGGCGATTCCATGTGGCCGGCCATCGTGGACATTTGCCTGCCCTTTGGAATCTTCTACCGAATGCACGCAGTGGCCAGTTTGCTGGAGGTCTACATCGTGTCCTAAAGAACTCCCTCACAAGGAAGTGTTCCTCAAGCAACCCACCTTCTTCCTACCCCAGGGCTGGGAGACTGCCCAGATGTCCCGAGGGGTCTCCAGCAGTGTTGGGGCATTTATGAACTGCCAGTGAAGATCATCCAAACATAGTCCAGATTTTATTTTTGCTACTTGTGTGTGGATGTGCCTGTGTGTGTCTGAAGTTCTTAAAACTTCAAACAGATAAAAAAAAGGAAGGTGTCCAAAGCAGGATCATGGTGATTAACCTCAGTTCATGCAGAGACTCACCTTCCTTTGTAAAGCCTGTTCACTCCATGCCGCTGATGAACTCTCCAGAGGGTGCTCATCACTCTTGGGCAGTTAGATCCTGCCTGTGCACAGAGATCCAGAGGGTACGAGAGGCTGACACAGGCCTGGAAGGCACAGAAAGGGAAAGCACTTCATCTCCTGGTACGGCCAGTCGGAAATCACTCCCCTGCAGAGATGTGAAAAACAAACTGGTGACCGCCAAAGGCTTTGGGAATCATTTTAATCTTTCCTCTCTGTATTGCCCGTGGATATGGGCCCTCTTGACCCTTCCCTGTACCAGTCCCTGCTGTTTTCCTTCCTCTCCAGGGAGGCATCACTGCAGCCTCCTCTTCTTAAGGAGAGCTCTGTGTGTGGTCCTGGGCTGGCCCTGATATGGGATTGCTCTAGCACACTTTCCTTCTCAGCTTTCCTGAATCAGGGCTCAATAATCATAAAGATGATGTGGGCAATACAGTCTGGGGGATGATAAAGAGATTTTTTTTTTCTCTCTCTCTCTTTTTTTTTTTAAATAGATAATGATTTTTTTAAAAATATGAACATTTTTGTACGCACAGTTATTTATTGATTTTCACTGTAACACTGAACTCCTGAAGGGACCCTACAACACAGAAGGCAATGCAATGCCATGGCCACTTTGATCTCCCCTGCCCTGAAGGGATGCTGGTGCTGCACCCTCAAGCCTGTGTGTGCTTTGAGGCTGTGAGCACAGCCCAGCACCCAGACCCTGGGGCCCTGCCTGCAGCCCTCCATGAACCACTGTATGATTGAGGGGGCTTTCAGAGCAGGAATCCTGGGCTTCAGGAAGTTGAAATGGGCCCCTCTGCTGTACCCAGCATCCAAGAAGAGCCTCAGAAAGCCCACGCTGCCAGGTCAGGAGGGTGATGCCAAAATGGCACAGCTGAGCTCTGTCTGCATCCTGAGACATGAGGGTTTAACTGTTCCAATAAAGGGCTTATTGTTCCATCAGAGTTTATCATTCCAACAAAAAACACTACAGAGGTGGCAGTAATCATCAAGCCCTCTCCTACGGACGTGTGTTCATCTGCCAGAGGGAAAACAATAAATGAAAATCATGGTACTTGAAACGGAGTGGTGCAATTTTCCACCTGACAGCCCGAGCTGACGCGTTTCAAACCACCTTCCCCTCCAAACCCCGATCACCAAACCAGCAGGGACCAGTGCCTCTGGCTGGTCTGACACCACTGTACCTGCCTGCCAGCAGCCTTTCCCTGGGGTGGGTAGAAGAGGGGGTAAACCCCAGTTCCCCCTGCCCCCAGAGGGTTGCACCGATCCAGCATCTCCGGGTGGGACAATTCTTCCCGTGACCAGCCCAGAGGTCTCTCCCAGCCCCACCGGCGCTGGAAAGGCCTGGTTCTATTTTTACCATTGATCTGGTAAAGATAAAATCTCTCTCTAGAAACTTCACCTTTCATAAAACAAAAGCCTTATTATTCTGTGGCTCCCACAGCTGAAATTAAGTCAGAAAAGAGACGCAAACGGCGCACAGACGTCAGTCCCACGTACAGCCCAACACATTGTCTGAGCCCCAAGCTGCTGAGCTCACACAGGGGAAGAAAACACTTTTAATCACCTACTCTCTTCCTGGGGGGCACACCAGGTTTCCTCCTACGTGCTCTTCCTGGTGCCTGGCCCCAGGTTCCCAGGGATGGGTGCACTGGGTCAAGCAGGGCAGACTTTGAACTGCTCTATTGTCCTGGACAGGGACTGTAGGGGCACTTCTGGGGCTAAATAAACTCAGGATGTGTGTATGGAGAACTCCCAGACAGCCCAAGCAGCACTGGTAGAAGCAATAACCCCAATCAACCGCTCCAGGGTGGTAGGTCAGCTGGAACCACAACATCCAACCACAAACAATCATACTGGGGTAAACCAAAATGCTCTGGGGACAGCACAAGCTCTGCAAGGATCCTTGGCTAACCTAAGGCATCTCCAGGCTGCAAGTGTGGGGATGGCAGAGTTTCCAGCCAAGGGCTGAGTTGTTCTTCTGCCCTCCAGCCACAAAAACACATCTTGGGACAGGCAGTAGACTGCGAAACAGAGAATGAATCCTATCTATATACCCAGAAAAGAGGTATATAGATATAGGGGGATAGAGATAGATAGACACGCAGACAGACAGAGGGAAAATCAGAACACACAAGTCCAAAAAATGAAAAAGAAAAAACCCAAAGCCTAAAAATCCAAACCCTAAGAAAACTCCAGTGTAAACCCTCGTGTGCTCAAGGATCGTTTTCTAGAAGGTATCAGATCAAGGCCAGTTAATGTGCAAAGGGATGTGCTCCAAGGCTGATGGAGAATCAGCCAAACATCCCTGGGCAACTCCTCAGCACAGCCAGTATCCCAGGCATGTCCCCCAAAACCCAGGTACACCCCCTGGAGCAGGCACTGTCACATCCTAACCGCATGGATCCATGCCCTTCCCTGGGACTCTGCACTCCAGGTGAGGCATCACTGCCCCCTTCCCTTCAGACCTGGGGCACAGCTCCTCACAGCCCAGCTAGAGAGTGGGATGTCTCTCCCTGATGGAGAGTTTGTGGAAGGGAAGAACACCCTGAACACAGAATACCTGAGTAACACAAAGGCATCCCACTTGGTCCTTTGTACACGTCCTTGTGACAGATCCCTGTGGAAAAGCACTGCTGGTAGATCTTCTGTGCCTGGAAGGAGGGAAACTGAGGCATGGAAGCTGGGTGAACAGAAAGGCTTTGTCAGAGCAGAGAATGAGGCTTGGCCCCAAGGCCACTAGCAGCATCCTGCTGACTGCTCCTGCCACTGCATCATTATGGAGCAGAGATCCCATCCAGAGCAGGGGATGGGAAATGGGATAGTGATGTGCCTCAGGGTGACTGTTTAAATGGCAGTCACTACAAATGAAGAGCTACAGAAAGCAAAGGGCTGTCCTGGGGCTCTCATGTCTTGCCAAGGGCTCCCAGTCTCACTGGCCTTGGTATAAAATCTACCTTGGCCCCCCAGGGATCTGAGGACCAGCTGTGCCACAGGGCTTTGGTGGAGACATGAACCAGTAAAAGTCACTCCTCAGGGGATGCCAGGGTTAAGAGCTCAGCTCTGGTTAAACTTAAGGAGCCCCAGCCCCAGGACTTGAGACACTGTGTGAGGGTCAAAAAGGTCCTGATTCAGACCCTGACCTGAGGCACACAGGGCCAGAGCCAGCAAGGGAGAGCAGCAAGAAGGAGAAGAGACAGAGCAGGAGAGCAGAAATCACTGCTCAGAAAAGGGAAGGCCACAGCCAGGGCCAGAACTGAGGCATCATCCCACTGCTCACTTCTTAATCATCTGTTATTTCAGGGTGAGATTTGTTTTATTAGAGAAAGAAAAAAATAACAATACACTTTTTATCTGGGTGATTTTCCCTGAGGTGTGTCAGGGACAGGGGAGGAATCCAAGATAATTATTATCTGTCAGTGCAGCAGATGGAAAGTGGATGGATTGAGAAGGTCACAAGGCTGGAAATGAGGGATGGGATTGCAGCACAAGGCAAGGTGCAGCCTGTGAGCAGGGTCAGGGTGTTCCGAGAGCCAGGGCAGGAGGAGGCACTTCCCAGGGAGCAAGACAGTGGTCCTTAGAAAAGAGGAGGTGTCAGGAGGTCAAAGGGACCTTCACCAAGGGCCAGCAGGGAAAACACAAAGCCACACTCACGAGTGGAGCCAGCACACACCCACAGAGCCCATCAGAGGGGCCGGAGGGACGGAGCTGGGGCGGTGCAGCACAGCTCCCCCTCACCCGTTTTGGATGAGGCTGCTCTTTGCAGTCACCCCAGAAGTCTCTCACTCACCACCCCCACAGGAGACGTCACCGACGGTTATCGGCGGCGAAGGAAGGGCGTGGGCTGACCGGGGAGATGTGAGGGCACGGCCTTCCTCGGGTGGCCTTTGGGCAAACACGGCGGCTGGGCACCCACCTCCTTCCTCTCGGGTCCTGTTTACAGATCCGCTTGGCCCAGCCTGGGTGTTAGGACTGCTAAGTGCACAGATAACACCATTAATAAGCACACACTGGTGATAGCAGAGGGGCAAACATCACTCCTAACGTTTGCCAGCTTTCTCCCAGCCTCTGAGTAAAGGCAGCTTCGCCAGGGGAGTGATTTCTGCCATCGATCCAGTTGGTTCAACTCATCCTCTCCCCTCCCTGCCCCTCTCCTGCACATTTGCTTACTCAATGACTTGGGTAAACTTTTGTCAATACTTTCCAATTAAACAGCTGCTACTCTTCAAAGTAAAGACCAAATTAGGAGGATTAACCAGTCTCCCAGGGCTTTACAACCTCTCTGCATCCAATTTTAGCTCCAAGGCCAGGATAAGGCAAGTCAGGCTAGGAAGGATCTCTCATCTCTGCAGCACAGATGCACAGTGACATTGGAAAAGCCACTGGGGCCAAGCAGGCACTAACATTTTATTTCAGGCCCATCTTAGAAGGAAAAAAGCTCCAATTTCACCCAATCTTCAGGATACATTCCAGACTCCTGGCCTCCATTTCCCAGTTCTGCATGGTCACCCCAATTTAGGACCACAACGCTGAAAAACAGCAGGTTTGTTAATGTCTTGTACAGAAATCACTGGCTTTGGTCAACAAAGAGACCACCAAATAGCTTTTGGGGGGTTCCAGTTCCATGCTGAGCTCTAGAACAGAGTCCAGAGGAGAGCCAGGCACCTGAAGGATCT